TGCAACGTGCTTTCCCGCTAGGATCCTAACAGTTGGCTAAGCTGTACCTTAACGGGGCAACGCTGGCCCTATATAATTTATATCCCACTAGAAGGGCGGTTAGCGGTTTCGTGACCAATAAATATAGACTCTTAACTAACAACGATAACAAACATTTATTTCTATTTAATAGTATATTTCAATATAACCTGACTGGATATCTAGAGATGTTGTGGTATCCAAGTTAGGTGAGCGACAGCGGCGAACGTACACAAATCCGATTGTAAATTAATAAATAATAATAGTTAAATTAATAGTAGAAAATGGCTATTATCGGAATTAAGTTGTAGTAATAAAAATATAATCTGCAATAAATAATGAGTTGCCGCGAGCGTGGTAAAATGTCGACTGCCTGTCGTTATATATTTCTTTAATGAAAAAGAATATCATCGGTTTTGTTTACACCCGCGCGTGCCGCATATCTGTAGTAGGTCATAGGGACGTTTGTGCTGATCAGGCACTAGTGTGGTATTGAAATGTTAATGTTGGTGAAGGACGAATAATGTGTACGCTACAGTTCGCCCTCCCCCGGTAAGATTCGTCTCTGAATCTTTTAAAAGAAAAATAATACAGTGAAAAGGGAATTGTTGATAAAAGTACATAAATCCTGAAAATAAAGGTAATGTTATTGGTTGATCAAGGAGGTACAGTGTCATCATAGCACAAAACCACTTGTTGTTTTCGATGACCACACTCCTAGGTTCGTAGGCTCTTGAGCCTTTGAGGAGCTTCCTTCGGTGGAGCTTTCAATAGTCGGCTACCAAGTGGTTCCTATGAGAAGCTCTGCCCTGTCGTCGGCTTCTTGATAAGCCTCGGGGCACCAAAGTTTGGCAACATTTTGTTCACGTGGTTTGTGTAAGATGGACAATGTTTAATTGCATTTAAAAATTATCAGGGTAAAAGCTGACATTGTAAAATTAACCTTATGCATGAATATAAAAAATATATATAATAATAATGATAATAACACTAATAATTTAGGTATAAAGTTGATAATTAATTTAGTTAACATTTAAAATGTATTTGAGTTACTTTAATCTAATGTAAGTAGTCAAAACGTTGTCAAAAAACCATGCTTACATTTACATAGGTGTCTTATTTACGTTAATCATGCATAAGCAAATGTTTAATGTATAATGGACAATTGATTTAAGAGGAGAGAAAAAAAAATGTCATCTCATTCGTAAAAGTCAGATCCAGTTAATATACGCGTAACGAAAAAAAATAAAAAAATTACAATAGCGAGTTCTTGAAGTGGCAGACTTGCGCTTATATTTCTTAGTTCAAAGTTTTCATACAATAAAAAAAAATATATATGTTATTAAGGTAGCTGTGAAAACACTCCCTAAAGTTTTATTTTAGTTGCTACTATAGATGTTGGGAAAATTGGAAACCTGTTTAGATTTAATTTTAACAGCGATTAATTTCACTATTGCAAGATGTTTCACAAATAATGTGCTCAAGAAGTTCTGTAATAATGATACAGATAATAATCTGTATCTGTTGTTGAAACACAATTATATGAAAACAGATAGTTCTCTTGGTTGAAAAAAAAAAAAAATCAAGCTTTCTGATTGGCAGCAGATACGACAGTGAAGATCGTTGTACAATTTTACATTATTTTAGCTTCGATGAGAAGCTGAGAAGGTATTAATTTTACTATGATGTGTTTTTTTTTTTTTGTATCTGTGAACGCTCAATCTCAGTTCTCGCTGGACCGATTTTGATGAGCAATATGTCAAAAGATCAAAAATCGTATCTAGTCGAAGACATTACCCTCAAAAATTGAAAAAAATTCCCTCATTCCTCGTAAACGAGGAAAATCCTCCAAAAAATTACAAATTTAAAAATTCGATATTTTTTCAATTTTTTTTACTTAAAAGTGCTATAACTTTTTTAAAAATGATCGAATCAATATAATTTTTTTTTTTATAAATACCTTAGATATTTACCTAAAATTTTATATATTTTTGTGAACATTTGACCCTTTAACAGCCTACAGGAAGGGTTTCAAAATGGTAACTTTTTTACAAAAAATTAACTTTTTCAACTTAACTTTTGAAAATGTTCCGGAAAGACTGACACTTTTATATATATCTTAAAATAAAGCTTATGTAATATACATTAATTTGAAGAAAAAAAAATTTGTCCTCTGGACTTGTCTTCGTGGTGAAAACGGACATTAAAGTTAAAGAAGAACGTACGAATTCCGTGAAAAAATTTTCGATTTTATATTTTATATAACTTTTGGAAAAAAGTATGGATCAATATTGTTATTTTTTATAATAAATATTTATATACCCCTTTCATCTGGCACGCTATTTTTGTAAATCGGATCATACCCCTTTAACAAGGGGGGTCAAAACTTTAAACATGCGTATTGTTACTAAGATATTTTCAATTTAATTTTTGAAAGTATTCCGGAAATACTGACACTTTTATATATATCTTAAATTAAAGCTTATCATTAAAATTAATAATAAATAATAGTAAATCATTAAAATTAATTCAGTTCACATTTCAATTGTAGAATATTTTTAAACGCCAAAAGTTACTAGGAAATGATTACTATTATTTGTATTTAAGTTATCTATTACGATATAAAAGCAAAAAATTATTGTGCTACTCTGATAAATTTACTATAAATAGCAAAAAATTTCGTGACTGAATATTAATCTTGAAGATACAATTTTTTTAATTCTAATAAAAATTACTATTTAATAATGTCAATTTCAAACTTGCAAATTGAGCTAAAAGTTATGGTAATAAATAATTTTTTTTTCTTCAAATTAATGTATATTACATAAGCTTTATTTTAAGATATATATAAAAGTGTCAGTCTTTCCGGAACATTTTCAAAAGTTAAGTTGAAAAAGTTAATTTTTTGTAAAAAAGTTACCATTTTGAAACCCCACCTGTAGGCTGTTAAAGGGTCAAATGTTCACAAAAATATATAAAATTTTAGGTAAATATCTAAGGTATTTATAAAAAAAAAAATTATATTGATTCGATCAT